ACTGAAAATTCTCACGAAAACGGATCTTTTCATGATTTTCCTATCAAACCAACTGCAGAAGAGAATTTCAATACGATCGAGGCAAACTTCGAACAGGAAAAAGTCGATACACCAATGGAATCAGACATCTTAGGATGCAATCATGGCATCTGGGCACCTTTTCCCGAAATACGGCGCGAATACATGGACGAGCTCCAAAAAGGGCACCTCCCGAAATTCGAGCCGTGTAATAGTTACCCTTCAGAATCCACTGCTCGGAAAGTGATTTCAGACGAAGGTTCGAGACTTCACATCCCCCTCGGCATGAACAGCCATATTGTGTCCGATTATGAAGATGAGTTCTCGAGCATAATTGCATGTGCTCTTTCTTTACTGAAAGACGGGCCATCTTTAACCGAAAATCTAGCCGATGACTCGTCGCAAACCCTGCCTCGTGCATACTCGTTGGCCTCCCCTCATTGGTCCTCTTTTGGCTCGTTCGACTCGGATACTGTCCAATCACCCCCTGCGAATTCTTCAGGAGAATTACACTCGTCAAGTTTCGACAGTTTGGATTTGTTGGAATCTTTGGTTTCTTACGGTGCAAGCCATCCGGAAGTTTCTATGGGCTCGGGTAAATATGCGGGCACGCGTAAGTACTCTGTTGTTTGTGTGTACGCGGGTGAGTTCCAGAAGCTGAGGGATCGGTGTTGTGCTTCGGAGGTTGGTTATATTGCGTCTTTGAGCCGATGTAGGAATTGGGATGCTAAGGGTGGAAAGAGCAAGTCTTTTTTCGCAAAGACTTTGGACGATAGGTTTATTATTAAGGAGATTAAGAGGACTGAGTTTGACTCGTTCGTGAAGTTCGCGGGGAACTACTTTGAGTACATGAGGCAGTGTTACGAGCTAGGAAATCAGACGTGTCTAGCTAAGATTCTTGGGATATACCAGGTTCGTTTTGTGCATTTTTTTCCCTAATTATTTTTTATTTTTCTCTAATTTTGAAAATTACAACTGCTGTTGAGGTTATATATCCATCTTGCATGAGTTGTTAGTGTCATATATTGACGATTATAACTCATTTTTGTAAAATACTACAATCGAATACATTTTTCAGCTTACATTTGCATCCCTCTAAATTTTAGTTACTACAAATAGCCTGATGAAATAGCGGCTCTTTTCTAACGTCTCGAATGTGTTGTCAAGTCATCTAATGGTGGGGCAAAATGGAAGCTGATTCAAACCTTAAGGGTGTTCTTCATAATTTCCAAAATTAGCTAAGCCTTCTCATATTGCCGCAAATAATCCAATAGAAAAAAGAAAGAAGGAAAGAAAAAGATGAAAAAGGAACTCATTGAGATTATTGAATATATAGAAATAGCTTGAACGTGTGTGCCTGTAATTTTGAAAGGTGTCTGTGTTTTTGACTTTTTGTAGTTGGACTGAAACTCAAGGGTATATTTGCAATTAAGAAAAAACAAACTTGCCTTTTGCCATTGATTCCTAACTGTATACCTTTTCAGGTTGTCATAAGAGTGAAAAACGGGAAAGAGGCGAGGCACGATCTTCTGGTGATGGAGAATCTTTCGTTTGGCCGACAAATAGCAAGACAGTACGACCTCAAAGGGGCCCTTCACGCTCGACTCAATACAGCTGGCAGTGATGCGGGTGATGTTCTCTTGGACCAAAACTTCGTAAACGATATGAACGTCTCGCCACTTTATGTCAGCAGGAAATCGAAGCGTAATCTTCAGAGAGCTGTTTATAACGACACTAATTTCCTCAACGTGAGTGCTTCAAAAACTCCTTCAAATCTCAAAAATTCGTAATCTGCAGAAAGAAAGACCCGTATGACCAATCATATAACGCATTGATAATTTTGTCTCAAGAGTTTTCGCTTAGGACATATTTTAAGAAATGAATTAATTAAATAGAAGTTTTTGAAGGAAGAATAAATGGGGTTTGATATAAAAGAAGGCCCCAAATATTCCAAAAAAAGTGATACTTACTGAAAATAATTGCATCTTTAGAAAAAACTCATACCAACCTGTGAAATCTTTTTAACTTTTGATGTAAAAGGGTTAATAGACTGAGCTAATCCATTTGGATAGTATATCCAAACTTGTTCCTTCTTGATTAAAGGGAATTCCTTCTAAAAATGTCATTGTCAAAATATCCTATTATTGTAACATAAGCTCTGTGAATTCTTGAAAGCCTGAATTTTTCTTAACCAGTATCATCTTACTCTATTAATTCTACCCTTACATAGTTACGCTGCACATTGATTT